CGATTTAAAAACCAACTTTGTCACTTTAATGTTTCACTATGTGTTGAAACCGAACAAAACCAGTGCTGACAAAGTAGAAACCTGTTTGCATTCTCAAAAATATTATTGATTTTGTTATCGATAATAATTATATATGATGATTGAGACATTACAACAGAGGATTTTCTGAAGGTGTCAGTTTAATTAATGGCTGTGTAATGGTGATTGATTAGTACATTTAGATGACAATAATCAACACAGTGGTTATGTGCCTATGGGAATGTAGTTAGAGTTTACACATCTGTTTTTAATGTGCCGCTCACCTTGGCATGTTTTATCTCCAGCTCAGCCATCTCTATGAGATTCTTCCTGAAGGCCACGACACGCCTGCCCTTGAAACTGGTGAGTTCTATGAGGAAAACAGTGTCCAGTTGAAAACAAAAGCTTGCACAGCTCATACTGTTTGTGTGAGTTTCTTCTGCACCAGTTCACAAACCTTTCTTCCCGGACTCTGAGAGCTTGTCGAATTTGTGCAGACATTGCTGCTGGTGCTCCTCTGCCTGGGGAATGTCCTTGCTCTTCAGTCGAGCCTTATCCAAAGCCTTGTTAGAGTTCTCGTAGTCCACTAAGGCCCGGGCTCGCCTGTACAGAAGGTCCTGACATGTTCCAGAAAGTTTAACATGAGAAATAGAAACAGAGACAGAGAGGACTAGCATTCATTTGGAAAATATCCACTACTTTAAAATCTAATTTCATGTTTGCAGAAAACCGATTGTGGAAGATGTGCAGGACAAAAAATGTAGTTGACCAGTAGAAGAGTGTTTGTTATTTCGATTAGTATTTTTATCTTAGGTTGTAAATCGTTTGATAAGCAGCAATACATGAACTTGATAAATGTTGTGAATATGTGCATGTTGAATAAAGGCAGAAGATAAATATGTCTCACCTTGGCCGCCTGGATATCTCTCATGTAATATCTGAGCAGCTCTGTGAGCTTCAGCTCCTCGTCAGATGCTACTCTTCCCTCTACTTTCTGCAGCGGCAAAAAAATGACATATAGCAGCCGCCACAATGTAAAGAAAGTATAAATCAGAACAAATATTTACAAAGGCTGTGTTGGTAATTGAAGGTCTACTTACTCTGAGCTTCTCAAACAGGTCTGACAACTTCTCCAGGTGCCTGAGAAAAAAGTGATGCCATAACATAAGTGTGAAGTTACGTCGTAGCAAGTAATGTGATTTAATACAGTTGGCATCATCACTCCCACCCTCATCCACCTACACTGGTTGCCGGTCAAGTCCCGCATATCCTACAAAATCCTCCTCCTTACCTACAAATCCCTCCATGCCCTTGCCCCCCAGTACCTATCGGACATCCTTCACCCACATGCCCCACCCCGGAACCTGCGGTCCTCAGACTCTGGCCTGCTTACCACCCCCCGCACCAAACTGCGAACCTATGGGGATAGAGCCTTCAGTGTGGCAGCCCCCACCCTCTGGAACGCTCTCCCTGCGGAGATCCGCAACATCCCCACACTTGAAGCCTTCAAAAGGGCCCTCAAGTCCCATCTGTTTGCCAAGGCTTTCGGCCCCTAAATCGATCTGTTGTTCTGTTTGTCTGTCTTTTGTTTTGTTATGTTTGTCTTTGCACTATTACTTGTGAAGCGACCTTGGGTCCCCTGAAAGGCGCTATAGAAATCGAAGCTATTATTATTATTATTATCATCATCATCATCATCCTCATCATCATTCACCTTTTGAATGGAACATTAAACTCACTTTTTATTTGCTGTGCTATCATCAGCAGCGAGAGTGTTCAGAGTGGCAGAGATGTGAATGTAATCATCTGCAATGTCTGTAATAACAACAAAAAAAGCCATCAAAATTAAACAAATTTCATATACAACTTTGTGAATTATACTCGACTTAACATTATCGTGGCAATGTCAAAGTTATACTTTTGTGCGAGCGGGTCATTTTCTCTGCTTTGGCAGTAGAATCCTTTATCTTGCTGTAGTAATCAAGCAGGAATGTCTTCTCCTGCTCAAAAAATTCATCCACTTCCTGTTTAGGACACAAATACGTACAGCCAAAGGTGAATGGGGAAGTAGCTACAACATTGCGGCTGTGATCTAGTTTTTTTGCACATATCGCATCATGCATGAAGCTCACCTTGATTCCTGAGATAAGGACCTCATCAGCTGACTTCACCATATTTTTAAAGAATCCTCCAAACATTTCCTTGGCATTCTTTCTTCTCACAGTAAGCTTAAAAGACAGAATTAAGAGATTGATCATATCAAATCCATGAGAAGAAATCAGTGTATGATATGTTGTGGGAACTAAGAAGGGTATGAAGTCATGTTTGTAATGTACCAATAGATGTGTTTAACTCTTAGCTAAGTTCTGTTAACAAACACCACAGCCACTGACTGCCAAATACTTCATAGATAAGCATAAGTGCTGATCACAGCAGGATGGAAGCCATGTGTCACATGTGTCCAGTAAACTCAACTTCCTCTTTTCCAACGGACAACTCAGGAAAGGAAGTCAGCATTATGGGGAACTTACATCCTGGTCATACTCTAAGAAAATCTGGAAGTTTCTGTCTTTGCTCAACATGGGGTGGGAGGACACTCTCTGCAGGAAGACTTCGTGCACTTGGACAGTTTTCTTGAACACAGCCAGGTATTCACTGAAAGGAAAACCCAAGACAGCAAGAAGATGTTTTGTTGTGTATTTTCAGAGACTTTTGTAAAGTATCAAACATGACACTTTTTAAATAATACAAGGCAATATGTGGTGTTTTCTTTGAGTGTTACACTCACGCCTCCAGCTCCTGCTTCATTTTAGAGTACTCCTCCTTGGTCATAGTGGCTTCACCTTCCCCAAGTTTATGCATTTTCTCTCTGGGGCTCTCAAAGTCCGGCTTCGGGGGTGCTGGAGGAATCTATGAAAAGCAAGAGAAAATATGACATCATTAAGATACTGTAGTTAAAAGGTTAAATGGCCTCAATGTGTTATATAGTATTTAAGCACACGCATATTCTTTGAAAAGGAGGACAGTTTGATTCTTAATTAGCACAAACACTTTGGGCCTATGTTTTCATTTCTCCTTCTTTTATACAGGCCCAAAGAAAAATAGTGATATTGCAGCCTCTTTCAATCTCTGTTAGTCATGTCTGAAAGTAGACCAACTTACTATAAGACCAGCATAGTCCTCTGTCTCAACCAAAGTGTCATGTAGCCAGATGAAGTCTTCATGCTGCCTTGGAACAGAGAAATCTGGCTTCTGGAAAGAGCTAAGGGTGGTCTGGGGAAACAAACAATAATTGAATTGCATTTCGAAAAATGTGTATTATCAAACTTACAGCAAACACCCCAAATAGAATATTCAAAAGGTTGAAAGTGTTGTGTTGGTTTTTTCACCTTTGTATGGACAGTAAACTTGACTTTGTCCCTTTCACAGAGTGCATCAGGAATGTCGATGAGAAGAGAGGCATCATGATTTAGATCTACCGACACAGAGCGCATCTATAGAGAAAGAATAAACAAAGGTTATCCAAGACAGTGTAGCTGGCAGATCTTCTGTGTAAACCACGCATGCACGCGCACACGCGCACACACACACACACACACCTGTAAAAAGTGTAGCTGAAACACTAATCAAGCACAGGTTCGGACTGTTACATTTTGAATACTGGATCAATAATACCAGTTATCGGTCAGGGTTCATGATTAACATTGTAATGGTATCACCAACATCCTAGCTAGTAATGCAACACCACAATTCCTGAGTGTTTGGGGTCTTTCCTAGCCTGACATTATACAAATAGCTGCTATCAGAGGAATGTTCTGTTATCAGATACAATGTTGCGATCCAGAAGCCCATCTCCCTCCATGGTGTGGTTTTAAAGGTCTGGAGGCAGCTGACCTTTGGTCTAACAGTAGGTTCAGAATCCAGTCCTGCTTTTGCTTAAGGCATGGTTACACACCTTTGTTTATCTTATTGTCTTTACTCAGTTTTTCATTTATAGGGTGTATCTATCACACATGATATTATGTTGACGTTTTGTTTTAAGGTGTCAATTCAAGTTTGTGGTCATTTAAGATAGTTTAATTGTCATTCTTTCCTTGTTGATTTCAATGAAATGAACAACATTTTAGAAACACAACACAACTGCACCACAAAATAACTTTACATCCTCCAGATCGACAAGGAACAAATCTAAACCTACAAATTAAAATCAGCACCTGTCAGAATGCTAATAACTTCTCACAAGTCCACTGAATTACCACAGGCAAGTGTGCTGTACGATTCTGCAAAACAGTCCTTTAATTTAGTCAAAACACTAGATCAAGATAACAACATGTCAATCATGCTAACGCTTCGTTACTTTTCTTCACTTTTACATCTTGTGTTGTTGTGAAAAAATTGTGTAAACCGTTTCATATTGTCCTCACTTTCAGTATGTTTGCAAACGATACTTGTTCCAACATGGATGCAGTTTGACACCACGGGGTTAAAGTTACCCACTTCTTGATAGTGTGATCGATTAAACACTAGCTAGTTTTAGCTTGAGGCTAACCTACATACCGTAGGTTAGACAGAAAACAACACAAGTTAGCGGCCAGAAAGCAACCGTTAAAGTTAGCTACATTGATGCTAACGGAGTTGGCTTTAGGTGCTATATGTCGAGAACCATTTAACTTACCTTTTCCTTATTGCTTTCGTCTATGGTGGATGTCATAATTGGACTGAAATCGACGAAAAGGCAAGAACAGGCCAACAACCCAAAAAACAAAACTATATGCAGGAAGCTCCCCCTCTGCTGACTGGTTAGCTGTCAAACCGTTTTTTCTTCGCCTCCATCCCGACTTGACAACGTCAGACTAAATCCCGCCTTCGAGTGAATTGATTGGACGACGGCGAATTTACAAATGCTACGATTGGTTCTCAACGTAGTCAATCATACCAAACATTTGTTACTTTATTTTATGACAACTTATTTCCAGCAACACTACTTTACTGTGTTATTATTAGGCGAAGTACTGGTAAGGCGTAAAATGCATAATAAGAGAACATAATTAAAAAGCAGTACCACCGGCTCAGGTACACACTTCAATTCTGGGAAATGTAGTCTCTAACGTTGCACCTCAAAACAGGAAGTTGGTGCAACCGAAAAGGCGCGTCGTACAGAAACCATTGTGTTTCTTTGGAGTTACTCTGGAACATGCCGGAGCAAGTACCGCGACCAACATGGAGGCAAAAAACTTAAAAATACTGTTTAAACACTGTAACCAATGAACGTTTATATAGTTAGTTGTCTAATCGGTTATTGTCTCTAAGCTTGTTGTGTGGAAGTTGTAACAATGTTCATTCTTAAACGCGTGGGGTGCGTTGGAAGCATCATGGTCCCTCAATGCACCTCCCTTTTTGTGGGCAATTTTTCTGCTTGTCATTGCCTAAGTTCCACAAAGAGACACAGCCCGTACAGCTCAGTGGACATTGAGCGATACTCCTCTCTTGTTAAGGCAGTCATGTCATCCAAGGTCAGTTCCCAAACCCCAGAGAACCTCCAAGAAGAGGACGAGCACATTTATGGACCTGTTGTGAAAGCTCAAAACCCCTCCTCGAGATCAGAGGTGAGGGTACCCAAAAATCTGCATCCCTTCTTAAACTGCGAAGAGACTGTAGAAACAGAGGAGGCAGAGTCAGGACCTCCAGCCCGGATTTTGTTGAACCGGGGCAAATACAGGTCTCCGGTACCCAGTGTCACACGCATTCTTCAGCAGACCCTTTCCCGAGAGCAGATCTTCTACCTGGAGAGGTGGAAGAGGAAGATGATCGCACAACTTGGAGAAGAAGGCTTCCAAGAGTACAGTCAGAGTAAGTTTTCTAACATAAATTGTGTGTGGGATGGTAACTTACATGTGTAGTGTTAAGAGTAAAAAGTGACTAAAGTTGTTTTATTTCATCAGATTTATTTAGGCAAGGGAAGCTTTTCCATTCAACTGTGGAGGACACTCTGATATCAGATGCAACAAGCATGGATAAAGAATCCTCTGAGAAAGCAGAGTACCAACCTGATGTACAGGGATACATGGAGAGCATCTCCCATGTTCTGGCAGATGTGAGTGCAGTGAGAGCCACTGAAAGCACTGTGCAACATGCCGAGCTCAACTATCTGGGAATTATGGATTGTGTTGCTCGCTACAGGTAGATATTTGTATTCACACACAGAGATAGATTTTTTTCTCCCACTCAACACTTGGCTTGACTGCCTGTATTTTTCTGCAGGGGAGTGCTATGTCTTATTGACTGGAAGACTTCAGAGAAGCCCAAACCATTCTTGAGCAACACTTTTGACAATCCTATTCAGGTGGCAGCCTACGCCGGGGCTTTGAACAGTGATGGCAACTACAAGTACCAGGTACTGACATAAACAATGTGATATTTAGATTTCTCTGCTTTTTCCCCAGATGATGTATCTGTCTCAGCCTGAAGTCAGATGACTTACTTGAAAGATACATTATAGAATATTAAGGAACAGATTTAGTCTTTTTAAACACTGGATGTAAGCTACAGTGTGTCACACAAAAGAACAACCTAACTGATCTCCTCTCATTGCAGGTTGAAAATGGTCTCATTATAGTGGCCTATAAGGATGGCTCCCCTGCACATGCTCATCAATTGAGCTCAGAGCTAATGTTGAAGTACTGGTCAACTTGGCTGCTTCGTCTCGAAAACTTCACAGAACAAAGGTAAAGCAGGCAGCAGTTTAAGAAAAAAAAAATATTGTAACTAATTTCCGCTTTTGTTTTTATCATTGATATAAGTCAGAGGTAAATGCATTAATACTATTTTATAATGCTGTTATTAACCAGGTCTCAGACTTGACTTTTGGCTACAGTTGTGGCAATTTCATTCTATATTTAACATTTAACATTTAACATTTTACAAACAACTAATAATTGAAACAAATATTTTTATTTGAGAATTGACATTACTTTAAGATTGTTTTTCTTCTCATTTCAGTACAAGTCAGGCTTCAAGTTCTTTTGTGGAAAAGAGATGAGATTTGTGAAGAGAGAGCATTTCCTTAAAGCAAGTCCTTTTATTATAGCGCCTCTGATCCTTAACTAAAAATATAACATTGTCCCATTCAGTAGGTGGGTTAAATGTGTCAATGTAATCATGACCAATGACTACAATTGGTATGTTCTTTAATCATTTTAGTCAACTTCTTCTTCTTCTAGGTGTTCATTCATTCAATCATTGAATCCAAACCAGGCCTCCCTGTGTGAAGGGTCCTGAGTGAAGCCTAGGTTTTTAAAGAGCTTGTAGGAGGTCTCGTTCTCCTCTTCTATGAAGCAGTACACGGGGTAGCCCTGAGCGTGTAGTCTCTTGGCCATGGTGCTGATCAGGACTTTGGTGTATCCTTTCCCTCTGCGCTCTGGCAGAGTGTACAATATGCCCATTGCACATGAGGCATAGGTCAGGATCCAGGACACAGGCTTTCCTTCTGCGTCCAGCACACAGCAGGAGGGGAAGTTTGCGAGCATGTTCCGGATCATCCTCACAGCTTCCTTGTTCTTCGCAAACTTCCACATCTGATTCACCAAGCCAACGTGGGACTCATCCAGAGAGCTTAGTGAAATCCCTGGGCTGATGCAGAACAGAGCAGATGGACTTTCAGAGCATCGTTCTTTATTGTTGAAATATTAAATGTAAGATAATAATTTGAATGAACGTCATGGTTAGGCTCTACCTGTCTATAGAGGGAAGGTTGGAAACATCCTTAAGTATCATCATGTGACACACTGCCAGTTGGCTGCTGGACACGCCTTTTTCTGATGCTACTGCTTTTAATATCTCCATGTGGCGAAGATTGATTCGTTTTGATATAAGATATGACAATAACATGCTTTAATACATGTGTTACAAAGTAATTGTGTATTCCTTTTGGTTACAGTGACATTTATTTATTGAAACAGGTTTAAAGATCAGAATATGATATATTTTGAAGACATCACAAAGTTGCTCTATTGATAGAAGTAGAAAATAGATATGTTTTTTCTTAATCATCTTGGAATAGAGGTTTTCACTACCCCTATGAGATGAATCCCTATCTCATCAAATGGCTTCTCCCTAACCCTTTTCTGTTTTACCTGTGATTGTTTTACAAGCACTTTGCTCTATGGCCATCTGGCTAGATAATCATTTAGGTATTGTAATGACTATGTTACTGATCTTTGCACTTTCTGTGGTATTGGAAAGACATTAACTGCTGGCATGATATGCCTCAATCGTTGGAGAACTTTGAACACAATAAAACAAAAGACAATACAATTAAAATCTTGAAGATGACATTGCAAAATCCGCATTATTCCTTCGGGACTGCAAAGATCAGGGCGTTTACGCTATGATTGTTTTCAGTGATTATAGCGCCACTTTGTAAGAGCAATGACTGACACTGAATGGCTACAGTGTTATTCATTCAAACAAAAAAAGTGTTACCAATGCAAATGAACTGGGTCCAGTCCAGAACGTTGGACTTCGTTATGATGTCCTCGAGAATAGCTTGATCAATTGCAAAAACTGGTATGTCTTTGAATAGATCCCCCTTCTGTAAGAAAAGAGATGTGAGGAATTGCAGTGTATGCAGAAATACAGATACATATATTTAATACATACTAGGTAAGTAGCCTACTTACCTGTTCATATTGCGGTTTGCAGACAATGACATTGAACTCTGGCCATCTATCCACAAAAACTCTCCCTGGGTCTGATCTGACTCAAATAACCAAATAACCATAGCCTACACCTTTAAAATAAAAAGTTGGTTACTTAGTAATCTAAATAATTGTTTGATCAGTTATTAAGGGAGAGGGTACATTCAACGTTTTGTTCAAGCAAAAAAAGAATAATAGGCAGTGATCATCGGCTTGCAATCGCTTGCAATAGGCTATGTTATCAGATATGTTCAACAGTAGTTCTGACTGGACACACCTGTTGCGACCGAGGTAAATATATTTTCAGCTGAGTCTCAGCCATTTTCAGCTGCTCTCCGGTCAGTTCCATGTTCACTTCTGGTAAAGTCTTTCAAGTCAGGAATATCAATGAACCCGTACAGAAGTGCAGTAAACAGATCGGGAACACATGGAAGTGTGTAGAGCGTGCCAGTAAAAAGCAAAGCTAAAGTTGGCTTCCGAGCATAGACTGGAAATCCGAGTCGCACTTTCGACACGTGACTAACAAAGGTAGTACAAATCTTGGTCATGTAACGTGACAGATCTGTTTTACTTGTTTTACTTATGTCCTATATTGCTATTCGTTTGACATTACTGTTTCATAATTTCACCTTATACAATTTATTTACATTTTCTAGCTACAACACTGAAATCGGTTATTAAACATTAACTCATGTTTAATATCCGACTTCAGTGTTGTAGCTAGAAAATGTTGGGGTAATTTAAATACTGCATTTACTGATGAGCATCTTAATCTAAAATGATACATCATCATTTATTAGGTGATATATATTTCGTAAAAAAATATAAAAATGTTTAGTCAAAAGTAATAAATTGGCCTGCAAAATGGTTGAGTTATAGTATTCAATAGCATATAATGTGAATACTCATGTAAAGTACAAGTACTGCAACGGTGTAGTTAAGTACAGTACTTGTGTACATTTACTAAGTTAGGCTACTTTTATAGCACTGATGTCCAGTGTATTATTTAATATGTTTGTAGACCATCACCAATAAATCTGTCTAGTATAACTAGACTGATACAACAAAGACATTGCTTGTTTCAGAAGTGTGAATATTTGTTTTATTGTATTGAAAAAAACCTGTGGGAAGCTGCTGAAGCTTTGATGCAGGTAGTGTGAAAAGAAGAACATACTTTTTAACAAAACATGACTACAACACGTATGCATGACATGTCTTTATTTAGGGGAACCATTGTTACCAAACAGGTTTTTATGCATTGTTTTGGAGAGCCTTTAACATTTGTAAATTGAATAGTTTGCTCCCATATTCATTCACTGAGAAAAACAATGTTTACCTGATATTATGTCAGCTATAAACTCGATCACAATGAGTACAAAATCAAAAGTTGAATTCCAACCATGCCGCCCTGTAAGAGGGTTCCTCAATGAAACCCAGATTTTTAAAGAGCTTGTAGGAGGTGTCATTCTCCTCCTCTATGAAGCAGTACACCGGATAGCCCTGAGAGTGTAGTCTCTTGGCCATGGCGCTGACCAGGACTTTGCCGTAGCCTTTCCCTCTGTGCTCTGGCAGAGTGTACAATAAGCCCAATGCACAGTAATCATACACCAGGATCCAGGACAGCGGTTGACCCTGGCCGTCAGTGATGCAGCATGATGGGAAGTTGCTGATGAGGTTTTCAATGTTCCTGTAACCCTGCTTATTCCCTCCAAACTTCCAGGTTTTATTCACCAAGTCAACATGGGAAAGGTTAAGAGATGAAATCCTTGCTTCAAGCTCACTGCAGAGAAACAGATTATGATAACTGTCATCTTCAACATTATTTTCCTTTTTACAGATATGAGTGAAATGTGCACACATATCCTTAAAAGTACGTTGTAATGATCTGACTGTACCTGTCAGCTGCTGGTTTGAGCAGATGGGTGCTGTCTGGCAAATACAGAAGGCGCACTGCAGTATAGCATCGGTTGTTGATTCCTCTGTTAGAAGACACTTCTTTGAGGATGGGGTCATGAGAAATGTCAAATCCTGTAGGACAAAGAGTAATCACATGTTTACACCATTCTGACATTTTTCTTTGCAAGAGTTTCACCATTAGTAAATGATGCAGTTTATCACCCCTTCCACTCAGGAAAAAATGTAAAACCCCATTGTAAAATTACTTAATTACAGTTGTAAGGATTGCAATCAAAATGAAGTTTGTAAGGATCATATAAGTGATGTTTTAATGTCTAACAACCGTGTTACTGTTACAGTTGTTACGGTCTGGAGTTCAAGTAAACGGTTTGGTAGTTTCATAATAATGTATATTAACTGTTGTCATACTGTACGTTTCCTGGGTAAAATTGTTTTCATAAAGTTGTAACTAGTATAATAGTATTTAGATATATGTTGAAGTACTCTCCTCTCAAGAAAAGCCCTGCATTCAACATTTTTCTCAAGTATTGTCATCAAAATATACATAATTTACCGAAAGTAAAAGTTCTCACCATGCAGAATGGCCCATTTCATAATAATATACATTATATCACGGTCACAGTAATATTAATAATAATATAGTCACTTAATATTTTAGAGTTCAACGTAGGCTACATGTGTATACAAATGTGGACTGAGAAAATATGGTTCCTTCACAAACTGCAAATAAAACATGTATACACACATATAGGCTAACTTTGAATTGTATTGCTAAAAGCCATAAGTGACCATTGAAATATTACGGTTACCTATGTAGGCCTAAAGTATTTGGTTTAATGAAGGGTTACTTACCTGTAGTTACATTACACCAATGACATACACCTACACTACCTGTGGAATGATAAACACTGATATAAACTCACCTCCAATAAGAAAATAAGTGCTCCAGTCAATTGCATTTTCTTCTGTCAGCACTTTTCTTAAAATCTGGTCATCCATGCTGTAGTACGTGACTTTTTTCATGAACTCCAGAGCGCGCTTGTTCTGTGAAGTAAACACAGATCTAGAAATAATGTCAATAAAGTCCACAATGTATCCAATTCTCCAATGGGATATGAACTCACCTTTGGGTCGGGTCTACAAATGATGATGTTAAAATTAGGCCATGTATCAACGATTACCTCCAGTGTGCTTGGTTTATTCCTGTTTATGCCATAGAGGAAACCGTATACCTGAAAACAAGAGTCGTTTAGAGCAATAATTACCTATATTAGGATGAAAGACACTGCGAGTACGCTGACATATTGGCTGGTGTCGAATAGCACCTTTAAACTCCTGGGTAAGTGCTTCAGGAGAACTCCTTCTGCAACCTTTAGTTCGTCTTTGTTCAGGACCTTCATGCTTCGGGAGTGCAGATTCTTTAATAATGCAGTTTCCCTGAGTATCGGTTTAACTGTTCACTTACAATAAAAATGGCCTCAGCATTAGTAAATCATTCATTTTACTGACGGTCATGCTTGTGTTCAGTATGTGGTTGTCACTCATACCAGATGGGCGTGTGACGTGTGGTCTATACTTAAACAGAAAAATACTTCCTGTCCGAAAATAAAAGCTTTTGTTTTTATCCCATTTTGAGTCATCCCATTTGTGCAATTATTTAAGAAGAGATGATTCTAAATGAATAAAGCTGAAACATTGATGGCTAATAAATTGCCAACCGTTAAAGTTCAAACATCCGGTATCGATTTTCAAAATAAAAGCCCAACTAGGGACAAGAGTTTAGAACTGGTAAAACTAGTTTCATGCTCTGTATTCGAATAAAAAAATATATAGAAATGTTTAGTTGGATGCTTTTACGGAGGTGATTGAACAAAATTAATTGATCTGCAGAGGCAGAAATGTTTTTTTTGTTTTTTTTAAACTTCTCATCTTAAATAACACTTTTATCTTATTGGCCAGGTAACCAGCTCGAGTGTGCTAGAATTTGAAAATATACAGCCGGAAGAAATCTGCTACTTCCTTACAGAGCCCCTCCAACACACATGAACATGAACACGAACATGACCAATGAGGGCACGAGATAAGTTTGTGCACAGATGGAAGGCTGACAGGCAGGTAGGCCATCCAGTTATTTTAGCCGGGCCGGCTAAAATGATTGGTCGTGCTTTTTACAGTACTGCGGCTTCCACAGATGACATTTTTTTATGGATTTTTTGCAGTCTATGATTTTTTGTCAAAGCACTTAAGATATTCATTGCCATCGGGATGTTGAGAGCATTCCATGGAATATAACAAAAAGTGTATCTCGAGCATGATCTCGAGCCGGTTTCTCAAACGTACCTACCCCACCTTTAATGTATGCTAAAGAATCACAACAAAACATGTTTCTATAAAATGATTAAATATCAATCTGAGACCTGGATAGCAAAAGTCTAATATCGATTTACATTCACCACATGAACATTGATGTAGGTTGACAAGATGCTTTATTATCATTTCAAAACAGCATGTTTTAATAGCCTAATCAACAGTTCAGTTAATAATTATTTGGTATTTGCTAGGTTAAGTGATTAAGCAGTACAAAGTGGCTCTTTTAAAATTAATGTCAATGTCAAACATTGCAACAGGTATTGAATTTAGCATAAAGTATAGTAGCTTAGGCATAAAATGGAAAAGTTAATATTTTTCTGGTTTATCTAACCGAAAACATATTGTTCCGATTGAGGGATATTCCGCAAACAATTCCAGCACTGGAGATTTTCCACGTAGTTCTCTTTCTAGCATTTCTGCCCGAGCATCCTAGTCTCATTACGCCATGGGACGACCAGCACTGTGAATTCGCACTGGTAGGGCTGAAAAAGAAAAAAAGTTACATCATATATATATATATATATTTGTATAGCATTGTAGCACAGAATATAGCATTGCAACTTTGAGATTAGATCAAAGTCAAAGATCAACATAGCATAACTTGCAAACCTTATCATCCCCCATTCCCCATGTTCAAAGATCCTGATTATTTAAGAATCAGATTTTATTTAAGTAATCAAATATTTTCCTCTTTCAATGGACCTCTTTCATTTTTAATAGGCAAATGTAGAATTATTTGTTAAGCTTAGTCATCTAGGTAAAATGTAGGAGGCAGTTCTCCTCCCTGACTTCTCTTTGCAGACAGCAACAAACAAAACCCGATAACTCATATAGGGGAAGTAAGTACCAAATGAATTCACAATCTGATAGTTTGTGGTCTATTGTTCAGGATAGCAATACAAGTCTACTGTATGGAATTTAAACATTACGTCTAAAAGCTTCCAATTAATAAATACAATTGGGGTTTATTTCTTCCTGAAGCTGAGATTGGAGCCTCTTAATAAAGTCCTTACCAGAGCCTGGGCTGGGTCTTGGTGGATGGCACACACTTCGTTTGCAGTGCCCTTTCTGCAGGGGGTGTTCCCCATTCTCACGGTTATGACATATTTCATACCAGCAACCAACTGTAAGAAGAACTTGTTGTTAGAAAAACAAATCATTGAAAACCTTTATGATAAAGCCCTTTAGCAATGCAGAATCAAGGCAAAACTGTCAGCTATTACATCCCACCAAAGTTTAAAAGATCACAACAATTATCATGATCAGATTCTTAATGTCTCATTTATGCATTTTTAAAAGCTTGGGTGGTCTTCCATGACATCTTATAGTGACAAACATTCAGACTTCATATAACAGGGTTTGATTGGATTAGGGGTGTCAGACAGAGATTATCACTAAAGTACTGTACTAAAGTACAATTTGAGACACTGAGTGAGTACACTTTGTACCTCTACAATTCAGAGGTAAATGGTGTTCTCTTACTCCACTACATTTATTGTGTAGGCTACTTTTAGTTGCCTACACAATATGTCAACAATGTCTTTCATTTTTGTAAAGCACATTGAATTGCCTTGTGTTGAAAGGTGCTATATACATACACTTGCCTTGCCTTGCCTATAGTTACTTTGCAGACTTGGATTAATGATGAGAAAAATAAATAATACTTAAATTACATCTGGAGTAACATTCAGTAACTACCCTACAGTATACAAAGTAATTAAAACTAGCTGCACCTTTACCAGCTTTGATAAACACATTAATGCATCATTAATTATAATCAAATCTGGTAGCCTACTTTTACAAGATCTGAGTACTTCTCCCCCCTCTGCTGTTGTATGTGCCTTTATGTGGATAAGGAGTGACAAGGAAACATTTAGCCTGATGGGCGCAGGCGTAAAAGCAGGCCCACGACAACGGTTGCATATAAACAAAGTATCTTGATTTTTACCATGTCTGTAAAGTCAAATCTTAAGATATTCAAAAGCCCAGCTTAAAGGTTACCAACCTGTCTCTTCACCCCCACCACTTCCGCCACCTGGCTGAGGAACATGTTGTTGGATTGCTTGTTGTGTTCGACGACAGCGAAATTGAGGGCATTTTGAGCCCCTTCGTCATTGACATCTATGTTTATATACCCCCCGACCATTGTTGATGAGCCGACGGCAAAAACCGCCGCAAGAACAGGGAGGACAATCTTCCACATCATGTCTCTTGTCTTACTGTAACAAGCAATATCACAAAAACAACAGCTCGGCGTTTTCTCCTACTTTTTATATAAACAACAAGGCAACGGCTGTTTTTTTCACGGGGATTGACACCTCTCGCAGCCAATCATCAAGCTCTGCAACACAAACCCCTCCCTCTTGATTTTCATTTGAGCCAGTCGCGAATGTGATTTGTTCATCCCCGACTCCCGTAGTGGCCTTTTCCACCACCACTTGAGCACATTCCTACATTATCTGAAGGGAAAACTTAAGAGGAGGCAACCAAGGTATGTTGAAACGCATGTGGTTTGGATTTTGGCTTGCTTTGCACAAAATTCGATGAGCGGTGCGGAAAATGAAAGTTTTTACCTCTGCCCTACAAGTGCAGGCTAGAAAAAAACTCACCTTTGGAACTGCGCAATGGAAAGACTCCAGGTTCTTAAGTAAGTAGGATAAGCGACGAATTCCCCAATTGGCTAAATATGTACCTGTAATATATTTATACTTATTCTACAGCTGTGATTATCAATGTGTTTGTTTTCTTATTTTCCCACATTCTGCAGGGGAACATTCTGCAGTTTGGATGCCTTCCAAAAGCAACTCCTAATAGGCTCAGCAGTGGCAGCTGGGGGCATATTGGCATACATGGTGCAGAAGAGAAGACAAGTCAAAAGTATCCCCCTTGGTGAAGGATGGTGGGGAGCAGGAGAGAAGCCACTGTCAGAGGATGATCAAATATATCCATTCAAAGTGCAAACCTCAGATGAAGAGATAGAGGTCCCTTTGAGCTCTTAACAAACTGTTTAATCATTACTAATCATATTTTTAAAGTAGCATTCAGACATATTTATGACAAGTAATCAACAGTGCTCTTACTCAACAGGACCTTCATGAGCGCATTGACAGAACCCGCTATGCTGATCCTTTGGAAGATAGCTGCTTCCAGTATGGATTCAACTCCACACATCTCAAGAAAGTGGTTTCCTATTGGAGACACACATTTGACTGGAAAAAGCAGGTGGAGGTGCTTAACAAGTATCCACACTTCAAAACCAAAATAGAAGGTACACACAGCCCCAAGCTATATCAACAGGTTTTGCTTTTGAGTAATATTTTTAAATAATCATTCCACACACTATTTACTTTCTTTAAGCACCAATGCTTTTGCTTTGATGCAGGATTGGATGTGCACTTCATTCACGTGCGACCACCACACCGTGACAACCAAAAGGTTCTGCCTCTTATGCTCGTTCACGGCTGGCCTGGCTCCTTCTATGAGTTCTACAGAATTCTGCCACTTCTCACAGAGAACCAGGATGGTGTTGTGTTTGAGATCATCTGTCCATCTATCCCTGGCTACGCTTTCTCAGAAGCCTCCCACAAACAAGGTAGAGGATTCTAAGCAATGTATGTATTTTTGCTAGAGCAGCAGATGAACAGATGTGTTTTTTTTGTATCTTTTCAGGATTTAACAGTCTCGCTGCTGCCCGAATTTTCCTGACACTGATGGAGCGTTTAGGATTCTCCCAGTTCTATCTGCAGGGTGGAGACTGGGGCTCTCTCATCACCACCAACATGTCACAGATGAAACCGCAGTAAGACAGAAAAACAAGCCATAACATGCCTCAAGTTGTATCACTTCAGTGGAATTTCCCACACCCACTTGTTTATTTAATAAAAGGGAGCAATGTGAGATTCTTACAGAAATGTGAAAGTGTTTGCTGTTTGCAAAGTTCACAATCCACCAAAACTACTTGCACGACAAATTCCTGTAGGCTGGAGAAAGGTCAAAAGAAAAAACATGATCAAAACTAGCATTTCTAGCTATAATTTGTAACTTAATACAGATTCAAATCCTGTTAGACATTAACTGTAATTGATATGTTTTTGTAATCTTTTCCAGATGCGTGAAAGGTCTGCACTTAAACATGTGTATGTCAAACAAAGGGTTCAAAGTGATGCTTTCCCTCATTGTTGGACCTTATCTGCCCTTCCTGGTGGGCTTGAGTCGGGAAGATGTTCGCCGGTTGTTCCCTTTCTTTGAGAAGAATGTCTGGGAAATCCTAAAGGAAAGCGGCTACCTTCACATCCAGGCCACTAAACCAGACACTGCAGGTGGGGACACATTCTGATGATCATATTGACACTGCTGACAGGCCAAAGACAAACCACCTGAGGCAAGCAAACAGTTGCTAGTATTTTATTATCTCAGTTGACTATTCATTAAGCGCTTTAAGTGAAAGTTCCGATTTTTTAGGTGGTGTTGTATGAAGTATTTATCCATATTCAGTTTCGAGAAAAAGACAAGGCAAAAGTCATCAATCCACAGGGAACTGAAGCCTTTACTGTCTATGCTTCCATTAAAGCAACTATACTCCATTTGATAAAACAGTCATTTGACCTGACCTGATGAATCCAAACGAATAATTTAACACATCAGTCACACAGTATCACAAACTAACCGATTGTGGCAGCGGTAGACCAGCAACTTCAGTGTTCTATAAGGTAAACTAAGGTTTCTTTGACAAAGGAGTATTTTTAGGGGGATGAAATAAATGTTGCTGATGATACCAGCCCCAGCAGAACAATGCTTAACATCTGTATACACTAACTCTGGATATGTACCTCATATTACTCTAATTTGAAACATCCAAACTATCTTGCTTTGTGGTTACAGGCTGTGGAGCCAATGACTCTCCTGTAGGCTTGGCGGCCTACATCCTGGAGAAGTTCTCCACCTGGACTGATAATAGGAACAGAGATCTAGAGGATGGTGGGCTGGAGAGGTACAAGACAACTTTCAGTTTTGCCTTTTGGTCTTTTTAGGCATATATAAATATATTGTATGATAGATTCAACAAAGATGATTGGATTGTTGCTGGCTGTTTGTTAAATAATGTCTGCATCCATACAGGAAATTCAGCCTGGATGACCTCCTGACAAACGTGATGATCTACTGGACCACAGGCTCCATCGTCTCCTCCATGCGCTTCTACAAAGAGAACTTCAAGGGAAATCCAGACAACAGAGTGGATGCAAAGTATGTGGTTAGATGCTCCTATTATCCAAACTGTCATTTGTTTTACAAATTTGACAACCTTATAATCACACCATGTCATACCTCTGATTCGGTTTCCTCTTGTGTTTTAGGACAGGAATATTTGTACCCACTGGACTTGCCGCCTTCCCCAACGAGCTGTTGCACTGCCCCAAGTCTTGGGCACAGATTAGGTATAGAAACATCCAGTCGTACAACTACATGCCACGAGGCGGTCACTTTGCTGCCTTTGAGGAGCCCCAGCTGCTAGCCAACGACTTTGTCCAGTTCGTGAAAAAAGTGGAGAAGTTCTGACCATGTTAATGCACTTATACACCAACGTAATTATGGTACATATTCTGTTCATTATTAATGCTGTTATTCAATTTTGTTTACTCATTCCAAATGAGATATGAATGCACTTCATTTTTGCTAAGATTATTTCCACACTACAATGCAACTCATTGCTTGATTGTGTTAAGAAATGTCAGCATTGTTTAAATCGTTTTAATAAAATGTAAACACATACACAGATGATACTGGCACTTGAATATATCTAAAGATAAGATTAAAGCTATTAAAACAATAGACACAAGTTCTCGCTCTTTAAAAATGTATTGCACCATTAATGTGTTTGATGTCCAATTAGCAAGTGTTAGAATTTTCTGCAAAACATTCTTCAGAAATAGAAACAATGTGCTCAAACAGATTATGCCAACAAAGGTTCCTAAGAACAAATTATTTCAGTATTTCAAAAGGGGATAATACACCTTACTGCCAGCGTCAATAAACGCACTTTTGTTTTTAAGTGTCAAGTAGAAAACATGTTACTCATAATTCATTCACAATACGGACAGGTCAGTTCAATCAAATAAAATTGTAGGAAACCGGCTCCAAAAAGAGAGCCGCATCTCAGACTATGTGCTTCCCAACTCCTGATGTCACTTGCCGAAGCCCTTGATGGTCATGGGTGCCTGAAACCACACATAATCCTCCCAGTCGGACCCCTGGGCCAGTGGTTCCTTGCAGGTGCTGGGAACAGTAGACAGAGCGATAATTCGGTTCTTTACACGGGTTGGCACTTTAAATTGTAGTTTAGGGCGGAACCACCCTACGCCGCAGTCCCTGTGGGCCAGTACCAAGACGGTGGTGGGAATCAAACGAACAGGTTTGGTGTCCGACAAAAGGTCGGCCACAAACAGAGTCCGAAAGAGTTGCCGTAAGCATGCGGACACCTGTAGACTTTTGTCTCCACCAGCCAATACCAGGGCCTCCATGTTGATCTCATACAGCTCTTTGGGGAGGGTGAGGGAGCCACCCATCAGCAGCAGCACGCGGGGCACCCTGCTGAGGGAGAAGAGCACCTCCAGCTGCTGCAGCACCTCCTCCAGCTCCTGAAGGGTCTGCTGACACTTGCGCCAGCTCACGTCTGCAGACTGCCCCGGCCTCCGAGCTACTATGTCTTCATCCTGAAAAGCAAAACATTAAACAAACTGTTTAAGTTCATCTCAAATCCACATCATTTCTTAATTTTTTTAACATTTGCGCAAAATTCCACCATGTATGGCTGCCATGTCTCAAGATCCTATCCAACTATGCATTTGTATTAATCACTTACATAAGTTTATAGCACATACATCTGATTATGTTCAACATACTTATATATAAGTACAATATACAGTATTTCATTTTGTATTCTGTCTGATCTCACCCTAGTTTACCTGTATATCATTTACCTAATTCTGCATTTTACTTGCACCATTATATGATTTGCACTATTTTTTACTTTAATTATTTTATGGTCTAATATATGTTGCATTGTTGGAGGAGTTTAGGATTTTCTCGCTGTAGCTGCATATGACAATAAAGCCTTTGAATCTTGAAGGTGCACACGTGTTCCTAATTCACCTGCATGGAGGCTTGCTGTTTCTTCTGGGAGTACACCAGCTGGTCATATGTCATGGGCAGTTGCTGTCTCTGATAGAGGACGCACTTGAGGATCTCACTGACGAAGCGGCAGCAGCCTTCCTGAGTCACAGTTCCAGGGAAAACCACGTTCACACAGCCATTGTCCTGCGCTTGTCT